TCCTGAAGAGTTTAGCTCCAACCCCAATTAAACACACCTGAACCAGCTAATCAAGCTCTTACTAGGCATACTAGAAACTTAAAGGCAGGTGTGTTGAGGCAAGTTGGAGCTAAACTCTGCAGGACACCAGCCCTCCAGGACCGAGTTTTGGCAGCCCTGAGCTAGACGTATACATCAACTTGACATCAGTTGTTTAAACAGAAATGAAAAAAAAAAGACTTTTGGAAAGGGCATAATTTGTTAGCAGATGCTTCCTTTTTTTTTCCAAATCTTTTTTGAGCCACTTTCATATTTTATCATAATTTAATAACTTATGTTAATTGTCATTACAAATGCCACAATTCTTTGATTTTCAATTCTTTGATGTAAGAAAAAAAAAGGCAAATTTCATTTTGTTTAACCTTAACTAATAGTAAGAGTTTAAGTGCCTTTAGATCAGGGGGTCTCTAGGAGGCAATTTAATTTAATAGATCTCATTTTAATATGATTGTTCATGTCTTTTATGTTGCTTTGATGTACAATGGTTAAAAGTATTAATATTCTTGGACCTCTTCAGACATGTGCTATGAGGACATGTCTTGTTAACTGCACAGGGATAAAAGCTGAAACTCATTGGGAGAGATTAATTACAATAAGTGTCTCCTGTCTAAAATCTGCTCAGGTCTTGGCTGGGTATTTTGATTTGATCTGATATTATTGTGTTCATCATATTCTGATTGATTCTCTTTTTGTTCAGATGTTGACCTCCAGATGTTCTTCTAATTTTAAATGAGAGTATCAAACATGCTTTAAATGCATTTATGGTTAATTTTTCATTGATTCAGTGTAAAAAAAATTAAAAAAAAGGAAGAAAAAAGTGAACTCTGAAATCCCAGCTTTATCAAGCTGTAGTTTCACATCATACTCACAAGAGAGCAGCAAACTGCACATTTCAGACAGAATGTAGCAGGTCTTTGCATGGACAGTTGATTCTGGTTTGTTTCTTTTTTTAAAAATATTTAATGGTATTCGTTTGTCATTTTTTAAAATGTATCTATTGTCTGTTTTTTTAAATACACTCCTTCAGAAGTTGGGGTCAGTAAAGGCAACTCTAATGGTTACAACAGATTTGCATTTCAAATAAATACTGCTCTTTTGATCTTTCTATTGATCAAAAAATATTAAGCAGAACTATTTTCAAAATTAATAATAAGAAATGTTTCTTAAGCATCAAATCAGCATATTACAATGATTTCTGAAGGAAAAAAATCTAACCGATCCCAAACTTAGTAGTATATGTTACAATTTAAGCACTACAAGGATGTACCTTTATGTTTATGAGAAATATGTTGTTGTCTTGGAAATTAACTGCTGTAATATGACATGTTTTTTTTTAAACTTATTGTTAGGGAGGGTGTCTGTGGTGAACCAGAGATGGCTGCATTGGCTGAGCTGCAGCTTAAAGACAGGACTTCACCTGCCGTTGGTGCTCTGCTGCGTGACGCACTCCATCATTTGCCCTCCATCCGCGGTTGTTACCTCACCCACCTTGCACACATGGAATCCTCTGTCCTTTCATCCCGTGACCGGTACCTCGGCCGAACGCCTTTTGTCAGCTCTCATCTCCTACCTGAACTTACCGGCCCCTCCCTGCCTTCTGATTGGCCCTTCTTACCGCTCATAAGTCTCTATGAGCGAATGGGGCTGTCAGCTGGTGGTGGGCATCAGGTTGAGTCTCTTCCAGCAGGGTCAGTGCAGTCAGTCACTAACTGCCTTCAATGGCTGCTTGTTCTGGAGAGTTGGAGAGAGCAGGCGCTCACGGCGGTGCCACCAGTGGCAAAGTTAGCCCGGCTAGCCTGTGTCTTTCTGTGCTCCAGTGACCTCTTCCTGGAGCGGCCTGTGCAAGAGCTTACTTGGGCGCTGTTTCGCAGGCTAACACGGCCAGCTCAGCTTGAGGCGCTGGATCTGGGCTCACCTCCACCAGGCTTGGCTTCCTTTCATGACCTATACTCAGCTCTGCTGGCGCAGTATGAGGCTGTGTCATTCGGTGACCCACTCTTTGGCTGCTTCATGCTTTTGCCTCTACAGCGGTGCTACAGTGTCACCATGAGGCTGGCTGTGTTTGGAGAACATGTGGGAATGTTGCGATCGCTGGGGGTCCCGCTACAGCAGGTAAGGGGTGTCTTTTTGTCAGGTGACCTACGCACAGATTAGGCGTAATGGAAACATGACTGTACTTTTGTCTTTGCAATTCTGGGCATCTGGAGCTGTGATCCAATTCATACTGAGATTTCAGCTGTAAAGTGCAGTTCACAACATCAGATGATTTGAGTTGGGAAAGTCTAATTTAGTTTTAAAAAATGGCTTGTTTAGAATCTGCCAAATTTTCTTAATTGCAGGGATGCATGAAATTAGTGTGGTGAATAGTCAGAATTGATTTACTTGTTTCGTTGCCAATATAAAATTAGGCAACATTGTGAATATTGCTAAGAAGATAACCGTGAACGGTTGCTGTTTACGGTGTTTATTACCACGACAACCGTCCGAGTTGAACGTGCTTCTTGTGTATCCTGCTTGAAGGAGATGAAAATATCATGCATCTGAAGCTGTAATTAAATATTGGGAAACAGTGTGTATTATATGTTTATAATTGTTTTAAATGCTGCTTTCTCATTTATGAGAGGGAACAAAGGAGAGGACACATGCAGTTACTTTTTTGGTTGATATAATCCTTAGGTGTGTAAATGTATAATTGCCTTTTCATTTTTTTTCAGTTTTATTTAAATTCGTAGTTAAAATAACTAAAAATAAATGTATTTTAAAGTTTAGAATTAGACAGCCTATCCACACAGGCTTAAGCCCCGTTCACACCAAGAACGATAACTATAAAGATAACTATATTATATTAGCGTCCACACCAGCGGACGATATCATCTGTTTTTTCTAAGCACGTACTCGTCTGCCGCTTTCAATTCTCTAGCTGTTAATGTTTGTATCGTTCATCAGCTGGAAAAAAATTGTTTTGAAGGTGATTCCAACGATATCGTTTCTCTGTGCCTTTATTGTTATCGCTGTGGTGTGGACTGCTATTCTTTAATACTGAGAACGATTTTTAGAACTACAGTGGTGTGAAAAAGTGTTGGCCCCCTTCCTGATTTCTTATTTTTTTGCATGTTTGTCACACTTTAATGTTTCAGATCATCAAACAAATTTAAATATTAGTCCAAGATAACACAAGTAAACACAACATGCAGTTTTTAAATGAAGGTTTTTATTATTAAGGGAAAACAAAATCCAAAACTACATGACCCTGTGTGAAGAAGTGTTTGCCCCCCTGTTAAAACTGTGGTTTATCACACCTGAGTTCAATTTCTCTAGCCACACCCAGGCCTGATTACTGCCACACCTGTTCGCAATCAAGAAATCTCTTAAATAGGAACTGCCTGACAAAGTGAAGTAGACGACGAGGGCGGTTGGCGACACTAGGATGTGACTGGAGCAGAGATGGAAGGAAGTGACGTAGGATCAGGAAGTGAGCTGGACATAGAGGATGAATGTAGTGGCGGGGAGAAAGGAGGTAAAAATGGAAATTGGAACATAGTAGAAAATCGGAAAAGGAAAAAAAAATGGAATCAACTTTCTGGTTCGGAAAGTGAAAGGGAAAGACAACAGGAGAAAAGGAAAAAGGAAGAGTTTAAGGTAATGATACATTTCTTGTCCGATAATATGAATGCATTGAACCCACTGAAAATAACTAAAGCGATCAAAGAAGAGATCGGGAAAATCGAACATGCGAAAATGTTACGGAATGGAAAGTTGCTACTTTTTTGTAAAGATAGCAGACAACAAAAACAGGTACTAGGCTTAAAGACATTAGCAGGGAAATCTCTGAATGGAACCAACTGTCTTCAGAAAAGTTTCGATTGGCATTTTCATTTTATCTGATAAAGTAGCGCTTATGAGAGGAGCGCTGCTTTGTTTACAGCCGTTACCAGGGAAACCACAATATTTCTGACGTTCCAAAAGCACCTCCTACTGGCAGAGAATGAATGTTCATTTTCAATAATCCAGTCTGTAGTTTTTGTTCAGACCAGTGCGAAAATCCACACACATAACCCAGTTTTAAATAAATATAATAATTTATACTTCTGACTCACCCCTGGTTTAAATGCTCAATTGTGAGGTTTATCATTTTATAATTTATTTTGTTTTTGTGAAAACCTGTATCTCAACTGTAAATCAGTTGCTATTTCGTGGTCTACAACAAGAAAGAAAGCCATTATAACGTGTACATGAAAAATGTAGAAACATTGGACACAACTATGGGGCACCATTGTGCAGCAGCAAGCATAACAAAAAAGGAACCTCAAGGTTGATCTAGGAAAATGTGTGCAAATGTATACAACTTTACAAAAAATAACTTTATTCAACAATTCGCCTCCTCCGTGTCACCCTAGCACCAATTTGGAGTATCCACTGAACGCAAACAGCGTATGCTATTCTGTGTCAGCTGCGCCACGCGGATACGTTTTCTACGTTGTTTGTGCTTTGATTTGAATGTAAAACAACGTATCCTCGTGACGAAGTTGACTCAGAACAGCATCTGCTGTTTGCATTCAGTGGATACTCTCCAAAATGGCGTTATGGTGACACAGAGGAGACAAATTGTTTTTATTTTGCGCACAAAAAGTATTCTCGTAGCTTCGTAAAATTATGGTTGAACCCCTGATTTCACATGGATTATTTTACTGATCTCCTTGCTACTTTTCTGGACCTTGATTGTGTAAGGACCCTTGTTGTCTATGGGAGGGTCAGAGAGCTCTCAGAATGCATCAAAAATATCTTAATTTGTGTTCCGAAGATGAACGGAGGTCTTACGGGTTTGGAATGACATGAGGGGGAGTAATTAATAATTTTCATTTTTGGGTGAGCTATCCCTTTAATGCCACATTTGTGCTCTTCTGTGCCATGCAAAGATGAATTGTTGATGCTGATTTCATTTTACTGGTAACTTATTCTTCCCGATTGTATCTTATTATTTTAATTAAATTTATTGTTGAATTAAAATTTTTGATACAATTTTTTTGGCACAAAAGATGACATACATTTAATAAAGTTAGAAAAATGGCATTACAAAGGTAAAAAAAAAAAAAAAACCTTTAAGGAGTCAAATATCAATGGGAAGGTTAATTTCTGTCATTGATCAGAAGGTGTCTGTTCCAATTTATTTATTTTTTTTAAGTAGGAGCACTAGTGCTCCTGAAAAGAAATGTAAGCATAGAGTCCTTAAGAATGTAATATTAAAAACTAACTGGAAACGTTTTTGCAAAGTAACGTGCAAATTCACACACAACATATCTTTAATTTGGCCAGAATTGCAGGTGCTTGTCTTAATATACAAGAAGGTTTAGAGAAAATATTAAATAAGTTGTTAATAAATGTTATTATAGATTATAGAGTGTTTTAAAATTAAATATATCCGAAATGTCATCTAAAATTACCATTATTTACAATGTTATGAGGTGTTTGTGCTGAATATGCTCTTTAGGTTTTCACCAAACGTGGAGCTGTGCATTATGGCCAAACATCTCCACTTTGGTCTCGTCTGTTCAAAGGACATTGTTCTAGAAGTCTTATGGTTTGTTCAGATGCAAATTTGCAAACCTAAACCGTGCTGCCATGTTTCTTTAGAGAGAAGAGGCTTTCTTCTGGCAAGCCTTCCAAACATGAGTGCTCCTGAAAAGAAATGCAAGCGTAGAGTCCTCAAGAATGTAATATTAAAAACTAACTGCAAACGTTTTTGCAAAGTGTAAACTATTAAATATAATCTACAAATCAGACACTAGACACTAATCATTCTAATATTTTATTAAATCATTCTTCAGTATCACTAATCAATCTTTTTTTTATTATTAAACACAGGGGATCATTAATGATGCTTACATTGTAACGTGCAAATTCACACACAATGTATCTTTAATTTGGCCATAATTGCAGGTGCTTGTATTAATATACAAGAAGGTTTAGAGAAAATATTAAATAGGTTCTTAAATAAATGTTATTATAAATTATAAAGTATTTTATTATTAAATACGTCCGAAAGGTCATCTAAAATTGCTGGAGTGGAGGGGTTATAACAAATGTCATCAGAGAACAGTTGTAGTTACGAGGCAGAGGGGAAGTTATTTTGATTGATTGAGTTTGCTGCTACATTTTTATTGTAAACCAATTAAAGCGGTCTCCATCTGAAATTTGATTTGTTTGTCCTGTACAGCTGCCTATTCCACTGGAGAAGTTCACGTCCCCCATGGAAGACTCCCTTCCTCTGTTGCGGCTGTATTTTCGAGCACTAGTAACTGGAGCTCTGAAGAGGAGCTGGTGTCCTGTACTTTATGTGGTGGCTGTTGCCCACCTGAATGCGTTTATCTTCTCCCAGGATGCAGTGGCAGAGGTAAATTACCTGTGCAACAAGACCAGTGTTATTTTAGTATTATTTATTAAAGTATTGATTAATTAATTAATTAGTAATGTGAATTAGCTTTTATTTTTATATTTTCAGTTTTCATTTTTAGTTTTAAAGTTTTTTTTTAAGCACATCCCATTTTCTTTACTCTAGTTTAAGTTTTAGTAATGTTATGGGCTTTTTAAAATTTAATAAATTATACAGTATATATGTGACCCTGGACCACAAAACCAGTCTTAAGTCGCTGGGGTATGTTTTTAGCAATAGCCAAAAAAACATTGTATGGGTCAAAATTATCGATTTTTCTTTTATGCCAAAAATCATTAGGATATTAAGTAAAGATCATGTTCCATGAAGATATTTTGTAAATTTCCGTAAATATATCAAAACTTAATTTTTGATACATGTTGTGCAAAAAAATTATTTTCTCTCTGGGCCACCCCGTCACATGAAGGAAAGGCTAAGAACATAATTTAACACATTCACTATATAGATTTGACCGGTACTGACGCAATAATCTTTTTTTTTTTTTTTTTCCTTTTTTTAAGCACTTCAACTTAGTGTATTGTAACTTCTGTATTTCAGTTACTTGCCAAGGCAAAATTGCAAATTTTAGTTGGTTTTATTTCTAATATTTACTGCATAGTATTTTGAAATCTTTTTTTAAAATAATTTTAGTTTTAAGTAACAGCACCGAACAAGACCAGTGTAACAAAAAAGCATTTAGCAGAATGTTCAAGCTGCTCTTTCCATATAATAAAAATGAATGGTAACCAGAGGCTGCCAAGCTCCAGAAGTAAAAGTAGTTAGTGTGACTTGTGCATTATATTCCAAGTCTACTGAAGCAATGTACTTGCCTAATGTGAGGAAAATGCCAAAATTTAAGTTATGCAATTTAAGGTGACAAACCAAATGCACTTTATGCAAATCCACAGACCGGTGTGATTGGGCTCTTGATACAGAATATGATACTATAGACTAGGTGACATTTGAGGCTTTTTTTTTTCTCCAGAGGAAACTATAATTTATATATGCAAGCGCTCTGTCACACAATCCCAAATGGAGTGGTTGGGTTTGAAATATGTCTGAAGAGTGAAGCAAGTGTGATCGATGGTCTCTTAGTTGTCTTATTTTGTCATTGTGTGCTGAGTTATGACCGACTTGACTTACACTCTCTGTAGGAGGTGGAGGCGGCATGTCGGAGCCTGCTGAGAAAGACCTACTACCTGACAGATGAGGTACCATCAGGCATTCGCCTCTACCTTAAAGAGACATTCCATTTCCTGGTTTCATTTTAGTGACATGTCTGGTTTCTTTGTTTCTCCAGGTGTTAAAGAACCACCTGCTTCTTTTTCAGCTGCCCCAGCAGAATTCAGAGCTGGGCTTCAGCACCTATGAACAGCTGCCCCCGATTCGTGCCCGCAGGTTGGAAAGCATTGTGGGAACAGAAGTAAAGGGTGGAGAAAGGTGAAAAAGAAAAAATCCTGTCCCACAGTTTTGTATGTGATTTGTAAACTACCATCCTCATATCTGTGGTTTTTGGCCTGTTAGGAACAAGTGGCTACCATAGACTTTAAAATAAATATTTAGTTTCTTGTGGATGTGGTGTGGTTACTTGTCCATACAGCTTTTTTTTCTTTCTTTCTTTCTTTCTTTTCTTTTTTTTTTATATCCCTATCTGGATGGTAGTTATTTGATATAGGGACTTCAGATAATTCCAATTTACAGGGGTTAGTCAGTTATTTTATTTCCACCCGATTCTGAAATGTCAGGGTTTTTTCTCCCTCTATCCACAAAATTCCCAGACAAATGATACTGTTTTTGGACAAACACCAGCATCGTGTATTAATTTAAATTCTAAGTTTAAAAGCAGGAGTCAATCAAACAGTCGTTTTGGAAATCTTTTTGACCACTGCTAAGTGCTGTACGGTTGCTTTGCACTTTTGTTACAATGGAGGCTTTTATCACAGAAATGTTTGAAATGATTCACATTAATAGTTGAGCTGCCTCCATACCACATTTAGTGGAAGCTCTTAAGATAATAAAGCAGAGCCAAAAATGGGGGCGTACACTATTGAAATGGTCCACAAGGCAGCAACAGTGTGTAATAACATTTGTTATATATATATATAAAAATGTATTTGATCATCATACTCCCCAATGTTTAACATGCAGTGTGACCAGGTTTGTAGGATAACAGAACTCGCTCATCTCCCATGAATTACATATGTTCTTATTGCAGCATGTTTTATCACTAATCAGTTTTGTTTTATAGACATCGCTCTGATGAACCTTTGCTGTCAAAATAGTGCTTATGATTACAACTGATGAAAAAATGAGGAAATTCCTTGACATGAATATTAGCTTTGAGCCTCTTTTAATTGCATTGGGAGTTTCAGGGAATTACAAAGAAGCTTTCAAAGGGTGTTTATTTTTCTTTTATCTCATACTGAGATGAGTCAGAGAGGCATGAGCAACATGCTCCACTTATGTCAGTACAGTTCAAAATATTGCATAATGGGAAACAAATACCATACACTCTTCAATATACTGAAATTAAAATACCACAAAAATGACTTCTAAATCAACTTTGGAAAATTACTTTGGGCAAATAAAGACAATGGAATATTTATTCTTTCATCGACTCTTTCATTGACCTTAATGTCTATGAAAATATGATGGAAAGCTGTGGTTACTGTTTGGTCTTAAAGTTACATTCTCCCTTTAGAGCTTGTAGTTCTTCCCCTTCGGGATATTTTTTACTTGTGTCTGACTTCAACAGACTGAGTAAAGAAATGAACCTGAAAAGACTTCCATATAAAAGACGTTGGATTCCCAGAACACGCACCTGTTATGCAATCATCATGGACCAATGGCAGTTTGAAGGTGTTTAGCAACCAGTGTGACACATGTTTCAGTTTTTTTTTTCTTTCCAACTTTTCTAGAAAGTTCACACTGGTGAACTGTTTCGAACCACAAAACACCTTCGTTTCGGCAGAATTTGGTTCAAAATGTCTTTTTCAAAACACTCATTAATTTTGACAAGTCCATAAAAACAAGACCCAATGTACTTTTACATTTTCTGTATTGATTTTTCACAGGTGTTTTGCCTTTGATTTAAATTACACATTGAGTTTTAGGGTTGAAGGAAATGTCTAAACTTAGCAAAAAATTTATGGCAGAAAATTACTAATACCCTACCTTTTTTTTTTTTCTTAAAGTGCATAATTTTTGCCGACACTTTGAATCCTGTGACTTATTGAGATGTGTACTATACATTTCTAAGCAACTAAACAGCTTTTGCTTGGCGGATGATAACATAAGTGAAAAAAACAACAACTTGACACTAGTTTGAGAACTGAGAACCTTATCTTAATATTCATGGTGTTCAGTTCTGTTAGTTTTTGTTTGTACATTCGGTACGCAAAATGGTACTTATTTTCTCTGAAAATGTTGGCTGCAATCTTCAGCGTGATCAGTGAAGTTTGATCCTCAAGCCAATTGTTTTTAATGTTGACCAATGAAGTCAGAATCCCAAGCTAATGACTCTTGTGAGCTGGTTTGTTTTTGTGAATCACAAACATTTAGGAATCATTTGGAGCAGTTTCTCAGTTAATATGACTCGCATAACTGAACCGCAAGTCATTAATTTCATCATATTCAACTCCGTGAACCAAGAAATTATAGCCTATTATGTTATGTTGTACGGCTTGTGAGACCTAAATCAGTGTAGTTACTGATTTATTGTTCATATTACAATATGTAGTAACAGCAATTATGAGTTTTGTCAGTGGTAGTTTATACAAATAAAGAAACGAATGTAATATATTACCACATTTAGTTTTTTTAACATTTAGCATTGAAATGATCCCAGCATTTGAAAACAGAATTTAATGTCTGTTTTCCAAATATTTATTTAAAAGAATGGTTAAGGAACAGGAACTGCTAAATTCCTTCCTCAAAAATATGAATACAGAGACTTTTGTATATGGACAGATCACTTTTGTTTTTGCTGTTCTTGAGGCTTCTTCCTCATCTTGGTCTTTAAATGTCATTAGGAATTCAATAAAACTAAAACTAAATGCGAAAGAACGCGAAAGGCATCTCTTGTTTGCTCCTTCAGGAATGCTGACTTTTTCTTGCCAGTGAAAGACAATGAAGCCTCCTGTGAGCCGCTGTTAATGCTAGTCACACGGTTCAGCTGACATCTGGTCTGCATTATATCACAGGCAGGGGGCTCTGAGTTTCACTACGGCTCCTGTAGACAACACAACATCTCAAGTGTATCGCCCACCGTGAGATCCTATTTATCCAAATTTGTTTTTGTCCAGAATCATTTGTGTCGTTTCAAACTTGATGCGACTACAAATTGCTGATGGAAATCTGACTCCATTTACTTGTTTGTGCAATAAGCAAAATGTCAGAGACATGTTTGTTTTTTCTTAGGATTTTTATTAACATTGAAAGGGATTTTAGGCACTAATGTGTAGTCCATTTAAATACAGAAGCACACTTTCTCCCGATAGAGATGTGCAGTTATAGAGGCTGTGAAATGCACAGGCCTAAACAGCTCTGCAGTTTCTCACAGTTTTACATTACAGACATATAAAATCCCATTGATCGCACCCTGCAGTGTTGTATGCCATCTGTGTGTGTCTTTAGGGCATGTATGACACATGCTAGTGATGATCTATTAGTCTTGTTTATGCTGCGGTGTATTTTAAGGGTGTGACATTTGATTTCAAAGCATTAAAGTCTGAGTGGCTCTAACCAATGAACCACTGACATTTTTAGCATCTGTACACAGAAACATGTTTTCTTAAGAGTTTTTCTAAACATTCGTGGATGTTTTGTATTGTAAAAAAAGCTGTCTTTCCAATGATATTTTCAAGAGAAGGTAGCATATTTTTCCAGTGCTGTCTGTTAGCAAAAGTAACAGCAGCAAATTAAAAACATGAATTCCTAGTATATTGCCAAGAGTTGCGGAAACGTGTTAACAATAAATAAACAGAACAAGACGACAAGGGAAACAATGATGGCGGTATTTATACGCAGTTAAAAATTCTCAATCCATCAAAAAGTTGTTTGGCTTAGTCAGTCGTTTGTGAAAGCACAGAATTACTTTCCCTACTTCAATTTTATATAATTTTGATGTAAAAACTAAGTTAGCTCTAATGGATGGCCGTGTCTCACGACTAAACAAAATTCAGGGAATGTATGCCTGTGGATATTCATGGTATAATTATTTTTGACCGGATATGAAACAAAAATAACCTTCCAGGACACAGTCTTTTCAGAGTTTTTGGTATTTTTCTGCGACTTGGTAGTTAATCGAATTACTTATTCCTTCTCATATGCGTGAATGCAGACACAGAGGACCCTTTTGTGTGCCTCTGACTTAGATTTTATGGATTTTGTGTGTGTGTAGCTGAAATATAAGATGGAAAAAAAAACAAAAAAACATGATTTCTGTGTAGTAGTAACAGAGTCCAGATGTGCAGTATTAATAGCAGTGGATGATATTCAGGTTGTGCCCGTAGGCATCTGTAAACGGCCGTCCCTTAGTGTCTACTTACACAAGCTTACAGTTTCCCCACTCAATCCTTTTATGACAGCTTTTCTCCTGTTCGTGGTTGTCACTTGGATGACCTTCTGTGTAAAAAAAGGTCTACTTCATTCTTCAGACTACATTTGTTTATGGGCTCAAAAGTCTGTTTAAAAAGTCCAAATCCAACCCATTTTTTTCAGGGTATTCGCAGACTAATCACTCAATATTCAGCATAGTGCCCTTTTTTCAGGGGCTATACAGACACCTTACAAATCTCTACACACAGCAGCTGAGGAAAAACAGACCGTGTAATATGAAGGAGTCGGAGCCCCAGCCTAAAGGAGCTAAATTGGTGTCACCAGGTCATAATGTTATTAGCTGGGATAGTAATTCAGTGAGACTGATTATATTAGACACAGAACATGGTGCCCTGGCAACATCTGAAGCCCTTGACAATACCCACATTGAGCTGGAAGCATGTTGACCGAAGGGGATGCGCTCACAGGTTCTCGCAGTGCAGTTGTTGTAATTGCCTGTTCAACCAATCTTCAGCTGTCAGAGCAGAACTGCTCATGTGTACGCTGAAAAATAAACAGACAACTGATGACTGTGAGTAAAGAGTAACTGTTTCTATTACAAGTCATGCAGTCTCCAAAAATATTCAGAATTAGGGCTGTCATCAAAGGCCGGCAAAATTTGTTTTAGTGTGTATTTTTGCTTTGCTTTAAAATATCAGAAGTTGCTATATTGGCAAATATATCAGAAGATAATATTTTGTTGGAGTCACAAAATACTTAAAAAAAAAAAAATTATTCAAGAAGTATGCATTAAATTGATCAAAAGACATTTACAATGTTACAAAACATTTTTATTTCAAAAAATAATTTGTTCTTTTGAACTTTGTCTTCATAAAAGAATCCTAAAAAAAATGCATCAACATTTCCACAAAAATATTAAGCAGCATGTCTGTTTTCAACATTGATAATAATACGAGTAATGGATGCTGAAAATTCATCTTTGCCATCACAGAAATAAAATACATTTTAAAATT